TACGTATCAGTACTCCTCTCGATTAAAAATACTACGTATCAGTCTCCTCTCGATTAAAAAATACTACGATCAGTCTCCTCTCGATTAAAAAATACTCGATCAGTCTCCTCTCGATTAAAAAATACTCGATCAGTCTCCTCTCGATTAAAAAATACTCGATCAGTCTCCTCTCGATTAAAAAATACTCGATCAGTCTCCTCTCGATTAAAAAATACTCGATCTTTCACATACTGGTTTGGTTTACTCGGAATTTCGCCCAAAACCACACGAGGGCTATCTGCACTAGCCGTCCCTAATTCAGCAGTGAAAGACTAGAGGGAAGGCAGCTAGTCATCACCACCCACCGCAAACACTTGAACTACTTTTTTACCAACGAATATTGGAATTGGCCCTCCAAATTATCCCCAAATTTCAACGTATGTAATCTTAAAATCTAAACTGATAATAGAGAAAGTTTTCAAGATAAAGTACAGAATCAATAAATTTCAGCGCTCTTACATTGTTTATTGATATGTTTGTTCTCGAGATTACGTGGGTTAAACCACGCGTCGTTTAGAACAACGTATAAAAGACCATCTGACACCTCGTGCTGACAATTCTTCATACATCTTCGAACATTTAGATCAGGAATGTCTTGAGACTGCAGACGAAAATAACTTTAATCAGACAGGCGGTAGTACTGCCTATTTAGAGATAGCTCGGATTGTTCATTGAAAAAATATTTAAAATATCTCTTCAATAGGTCATCAGAACTTTAAAATACTATACAGTATTTCCTTTTATAACTTTATATATGTAACGACTGAGTCGCAAGTTCTAAAAATGCTATAAATATCATAGCAAAAAGTTTGGATTTCTTGTTGTTCTTTCTTCTTCTACTTTATTACACGATAACTCAAAAACCAACATAATGGTGTTAACCAAATTAAATTTGGTGACATAGTTTAAAACAGAGTATCCGCTTTTATAAGTTTCATTAATAACTAGTAGTAATTAAAAAACTCACAATTCTAGTGTAAGAAAAAAATAGATAAAGAATAAATATTACAGTTGGAACCTCATTGTATTTAGAAATTGGTTATAAATACAACCTTCCTCTGTGTATTGAAACACTGCTTTAAAAAACAAGTAAAGAAAATATGGTAGGGATGGCATTTGCATCATCCCTACAAATGGTACCCTTATATATTGTTTTTATTGTTTTTGAAGGATTGATATTAGCCATCCCTACATTTATTTCCTTTTTTAAAAAGTTTTTTCTTTACTTGTATAATATGTAGTTCCAACAACAAACAATATGTAAGAATGAATTAAACTTTGGTCATCAAGAAATCAAAGTCAACGTTGAATTCTAATGCATCAACAATTGAAATCCTTCTAAAAATGTAAGTCAAGTTTGTTTCTTGACATAATTTAACTATTCTGCTAATTTGGTGGTTATTTTTATTTTTTCGTTAAAGTTGTTGATGCATTGTCACTCAGAAAAGAAAATGTATTATCAGCAAAGGTTTTTATCATCTGATTATGCGTAATAATACTATGTGAAAAACATTTGTAGCTTTTTGGAAGAATATGTGTAGTGAGAACTTAGCTATACGTTTATTAAAAATAATGAATTTTTTCAGGTCTTCATCACTGAGTCACTGCACGTTCTAGGCCTTGTACTTCTAGTTTTTGTTGTTCTACCTGACTTGGACGTCGTGAAAGCAGTTATGCTGACAAATTGCGTTTGTTTCATGCCTGGGTTATTTGGATTATTATCACGCCATAATACTGAAGAGAGGCGACCACTTAAAATATTTTTTGATATATTTTCATTAGTAGCACAAGCAACTGGTTTCGTAGTATGGCCTTTGGTATCTAATAATACTCGATGTTGGGCAATCCCTCCAGCTATTATCTTAGTATTCATTAACTGTTGGGAGAATTACACTGACAAGCGGTCACCAATATATTTGATGAAAATACTAGCTGATGCAAAGGATGACTTGCAGAATAGTAGATATTTCACATATGTCTTTATTTCAGTTTGGAAAATGTTGTTAATATTTTGTAGCATGTTGGTCTTTCTACTGATGAACATGAACGATGTGACGTCACTCTTTCGAGGATTTAAGGTTAGTTTTCAAAACCATTCCATTATAAATGATCAAATTAGGAATTCTGCCGCATTAACCGAGTCGCCAGCAACAACATTGCATCTGGACTATCCAACTGAGATATCATCGAGTGCAATGACTCCCATTTATGTTCTTCTTGTACATGTATTTGCTTCGCGACTTTGTTATATATGCGGCAAATTTACTTGTAAAATATGCATTCAAGGGTTCAGTTTTGCTTTTCCTATTAGTCTAACAATCCCTGTTTGTGTGTCCGCTCTTATTGCATTTTGTGGAGTTCAAACAGAGGAAGTTTGTTTCTTCGAAAAACTTTTTCCAGAGCACTCCTTTTTTTGGACCTGTCCTGAGGGTGAGGTTTTTGCAGATTTTGTTTCTAAACAGTATGCATGGATGTGGTTATTTTGGCTGTTGTCACAAACGTGGATAGTTGTGCACATCTGGACACCAAAATGTGAAAGATTGGCATCAACTGAGAAGTAAGCTTTTTGTAATTTCTAAATAAAACGTGATACATGAGAATAATTATAGTCTACAAAAATATAAACGTAATTTGAATAAAAATCATAGATAATAAGAATTTTTTATCAACATCTGAACACATTTTAAATAACCTAAATGCACTTACTCAGAGTTACTAGGTGAATAAAAATCATTACATCTTTTTTTTTCTTTACCTTTGAATAATAATTATTAAACCTGCTTGCACTAGATTACTCTGATACGGTTCATTGAACAAAACTGTAGGGAAAGGTGAAGAAGAAATCTTGTAATCTTAGATTGATAATATAGTTCAGCTTTGGTTGGTTCGTTTAATCCAACCTTATTGGTGAAACAGCCCCAACTACAAGCATTGCATTTTTTAACATATACAAAAGATTATGCCCAATGTTAATCAGGAGTTTTTATTTACCATATGTATGTATATATCGTTGAAAATGAGTAATCAGAAGTTTTTATTTACCATATGTATGTATATATCGTTGAAAATGAGTAATCAGAATTAATATTCTTAAATTTATGTAAGATTTTTACGAATTAAAATGAATTTAATGGAAAAGTGAAATGTTTTAAAATGAACCATTTTGTATTATAAATGTTCTCTCTATTTAAACCAAACATTGGGCATAACCTTTTGTATATATTAAAAAATGCAATGCTTGTAGTTGGGGCTGTTTCACCAATAAGGTTGGATTAAACGAACCTTCATGACGGATTAAAATAGCCTCCATCTAACTCATAATCATCTGAAGTTAAGCTAAATGCTGCATTTCTCAACTGCACTTAACTCGCCTAAATGAACGTTTAAATTATCCCAGGAGGGATTGGGAAGGTGGTGCATATTATCTAGGATAATGACGCTAAAGAACGTTGGCATATGAGGCTAAAATGCCCCGTGAGAGGGGCCTTACCCTAAGTCACTGATTGTAAAGCAGTTGCACTTTATAAAATATTGTTGAACTTGAATTGTGTTTCTTTTACGGGATACTCGGCTGTCTTATACTCCTCATTCTTTGAAATTAACAAAATGAAATTCCCTAAAATATCTCCTTTGTAACCGTAAGTGCTTACCTCAGATAAAGTAAATTATCACGGACATTCAGTAAGGCACGAAAACTTGTCACTGTCGGTGCGATTCAAGCGCTGCTATGCTGTGTAGGTTCAAAAGGTAATAAACCACTATAAATAATGGCCGAAAGTAGTGAAAGTCGGTGGAAATTAGGAAAGGAAACTATCTACGCTTCCATAAACTCCAACAATTTCAAAGGCACAATACCAAGGCAAGGGTTAACCCTCTCAATACAGGTAGGTCAAAGTGCGCATGTCACTACCATTTTAGACTTAGAGTTATATTTAAAGTTTAATTAAATCACTTTAATGCTGTATTATATAAATAAAGTTGGCATCAAAACTAGATCCTTCTAGATCAGGTTTTAATATCATTTAAGTTTTGATTTCATAATTTGGAAACGAAATATTTAGAAAATTTCCAATATTCATTTGTCGCTATCACATGACACTTCTTAGTAATTTATTACCGTAATTTGAGCTTTGCCTTCATCGCGTTTGGTACAACTTTAACTGCGTGATTAGATGTTAGGGGCGGTTGAAAGAGCAATAACACAATAAAATTAAATAAAAGTAGATGTAAACTGTTACGAGCATTAAACTGTTAAAGATAAATAATTGTTATGTTATAATATGCAGCCATTTTAGGGGAAAAAAGGTAATTTTTTTCTGATGGTTAAACGGTCAGTTAAATGGATCTAGTTTGTATAGTGTTAGATTAGAGAAAGTAATAGATAAAATATAAACTGTAACTGAAAAAACTACTGATATTCATTTCGGAGTCTCTAGAGGTTATGCAAATGAAACTTAAACTATAAGATGAAAATCCTCTTGTACTCACTGTCAAAAGTGTCTGTATACGTTAGAGTTTGAACCCACACTAGCGGGTGTCGCTACCTTCGCGCCCCTCACAGCTGACACTAAGGCACCCAATGGGAATAATCGTTCTTAATAGTATACTTCTTTGTCTTAGGGCCCGGCATGGCCAGGTGGTTAGGGCGCTCGACTCGTAATCTGTGGGTCGCGGGTTCGAATCCCCATCCCACCAAACATGGTCGCCCTTTCAGCCGTGGGGGCGTTATAATGTGACGGTCAGTCCCACTATTCGTTGGTAAAAGAGTAGCCCAAGAGTTGGCGGTGGGTGGTGGTGACTAGCTGCCTTTTTTTTAGTCTTACAGTACACTGCTAAATTAGGGACGGTTAGCGCAGATAGCCCTCGTGTAGCTTTGCGCGAAATTCAAAAAACAAAAACAAACAATCTTTGTCTTAGACCAAAGTTTCTCCAAAATAAAATATTTAAGTGGCGCTTTGATCATTCACATTCAAACCTGTTCGTCAGTTTGTTCGTACAAGGGGTCTCGTGAACAGTAGTAATATATATACTCACTCTAGATGTCAGAACATGAAATACAAGAGTGGCCATTTTAGCTAAGTGGGCTGTCTTACCTCACTTCCTATTATAAACATGCTACAGTATTATTAAACAATTATTTTTGAAGTATTAACAGCAAATATAAGCTCTAATAATGCTCTATACATAACTTTCTAGTTAAGTATTTCCAAGAGAAATGTCATCATAAACTTCATTCATGACAAACATAAAAACTATTGAAATGACGTGAAACCAAGCGAGGTCGTCAGGTTTTAATCGTTAAATAAATACCCTGTGTTAATACTTATCTGGATTTGGTCAAAATAACTTGTATTTTTATTTAATTTCTATCACCTATCTAGAACAGTTGTTTCTAACACTGATGTTCACTTTTTTTTCGTAGACTTTTTATAAATCCAATGTATGTGAGTGCTTTGATTGATCAATCTCTGGCTTTAAATCGAAGGCGAGACGATGAAGCTGAAATCAAAAGCGAAGTACGTAAGAACCCTATCCAAACATTTTGTAGTTCTTGTATAGCAACTGACAGTCCAATTGTAAAAGAAAATTTTGCAATATACCTTACACGTACTGATATCTATTACTACAAATATGACTATATAACAACTTTTTAACCAATATTTTAATGTATTACTTTATTATACTTTTCTTTTATAATTAATTTTATGCGAAACATAAAAATAATTGTACAGTTTGAAAGTACGTCATGTAAATGAATTCGATGAATTCCACGGTTTAACTTCCTTGTTTTGAGAGGTTATCAATCTTTATTAAATAATTTCTAACCCTGAGTGAAGTATTTGTTAATTGAGTCATACTGAAACCTATATTTTGTATTCGCGTATAATCATATTATTATTATCACATCGTTAGCGGTTGTCACAAAAATTATACCAGAATTAATAACAAGAATATGCACTTTTAATGTGACATGAATGTAATTCAGAATTGCAATACTCCAACATGTTTCATTAACACCCCTGGAAGTGAATAAATGAATCAACTGATATAACATTTATGTTGGAATGAGGATTTACAATTGCATTTGTGCTAGGCCTAAAGAGGTAATGTTCATTACTCATCTAAGGACACGCATGTTTCTCTGTCTTGCATTTGTATAATTAATTTCTTATAATGCTTAATTTTAATGGGGATATTAGGAAAGGTGACAATATCACATTTTCAAAATATTTTCGAGTGCAAATAATATGGCATGTATAATGTTAGAAATTGAATGACAGATTTAAATAGGTAGTCTACTAAGAAGAATGTTGCTAGATTTGATTATTATTTATTGTAATCTCGTCAATTGAGGAACTAAAAATGTTGTTACGTCTGTGTTCGTTTGTTAATTTTCCGTAGAAATTCTTTCCGAGAAACTTCCGCGATACAAGTCCTTTCTTAAATGAAACTACTTTATTCTTTATCAATTCAACTTTGCAATACACTTAATTTCCACAGTCAGTTTAACTTAAACACACGCTATAATTCACAACGATTCACGCACATTATTTACAGTGCCTATCGCCCGCTTGACTCGATTATCCGTGTCTATATCTTCAATCTCTCTATCTGCAACTATCTTGCCGTCACTTTATTTGCCGCCTTATATACTATAAAAGCGCACATCTAGATTGCACTCGCCTATTCGTGAATCTTCCAGATACTCATCACGTGTTACCAGCGTCTGGTGACTTCCGCTGTCGTAACAATATTATCGATAAAATATATGAGTGGAAATATTAAAAATAAAATAAAAAATGTTATTTTTCCTTTTATAATACATATATAACATTGATCAAAAATATATGTAATATCCTGGCCTCATTTATTATTACTTCTCGAATTCAAATAATTCATAACTATTTCCTAATAAATAATGGTTAGCGTGTGCGGACTGTAAATGTGTTGGTTGATTGTTCGCAGCGTATTACCAGAAAAACACATTTGCATTTGGGTTCGTGGCTGCACTATAAGAGTGACGGTAAAATCTGTCAGATGAGAATAACTCAAAAGCTGATGGCAGGTGCTGTCCATTAGCTCTTCAGAGCTCTTTGCGTAGTTTTGCACGACAATTCTGAAACAAACAGGCCGATTAAATATATATATATATATTGTATTTGTGTTGTTGTTTGTTATTAAGCACAAAGCTACACAAAGGGCTATCTGTGCTCTGCCCACCACGGGTATCGAAACTCGGTTTCTAGCAGTATAAGTCAGCAGACATACCACTGTGCCACTGGGGGGGGGGAGCTTTGTAATCTACAATGTGAACATTCAGGACCACTTCATATATCTTGTAACACAGTCTAGTCCACGCTAACCAAGTCGTGCAAGTAGGTCAGTAGCCGTTTGTATAATATAAAGTTTGCATTTTGCAAAAAGAGATATATTGAGCTACTGTAAAGGATGTACTTTTACGTTATATTTAATCCATTTGATTCGACTTGTATAAAATAAAACTTGCTCAAATTAACTAGAAGCTTTTTTAGATTGTCCTTTGGCATTGAACTGATTATTTCTTAGAAAAATGTATTTTCAGAAATCTAAGTACATCGAAAAATGAAAATACATTTATTTACCTCAGACTTTTGAAATAGGAAATCGTATTGTAATTTTTCCAAAAGCTAAGCTATTTACTTGTAACGTGCCCTATGAATCCAAGTATCAAAAATGTTGACGTTGAAATTGCTGGACAAGTCGCAACGTGGGTATCGGGAAATATATCAACTAAATGTAGTTTTATATTTCATAATTAATAATTACATCTAAGCTCTCTAAGAACATTGATGATAATCTGTTGTTGTTTTTTTCGTAGACTTTGTATAAATCCAATATATGCGGGTGCTTTTGATTGATCAGTCTTGGCTTCAATTTGTAACTTAACAGTAGGTTTCACAGAGAGATATATCAGTTTTGAAGTCTGAATTATTGATGTAATATACATAAATTATTATTATAGAACATTTAATTGTATAATGTGCTGTAGTCCTAGATAAAAATGCATGAGTTATAGGATTTTTAAAAATGGAAGATTTCTAGAGACTTCTTAACAAACAATGTTAACTAGATAACCTTTTTTTTTAAGTGGAACACATGGAAAGATAATTTCTCTATTCTGTGTTTCATTGATTTACGTAACGTTAATTAGTTAACATATTAATCTTAGCCTAAGAATAATTCATAAGGGAAATTAAAAAAAGCACCAGGTCGCGCTGAACTTTTTAAAGAAATGCCTGGAAAATGCTTAAGAACGACCTGGTTCGACCACTGGAAGTGAAATTCAAAATTCTCTCTTTGTTAGTATCAAAATGCGACTTCGCTTCAACATTGTTTCACAACGTCAAAGTTGTCTTTAAAGTGAATTATAGTGTTTCTAAATACATTTTTAGCAAGCACATATACACAGTATCTAGCTTATCATGTAATTATAATAATAATATAGTTATTTTCAATACGTTCTCCATTTACTGCTCTTAACTTTCATTATATTTTTTTTTATCTTCAAAAAACAAAAGTGTACAAGCGTCAAATGATTTTTAATTATTTTGTACCACCAAGGCTACGAAAGAAAACTAACTTTTTGTCGTACTCCTACTTTCCGGAAGACAGACAGAAATAGTTTGATAACTTTGCTTTATGATGAATTCCATTTTTAATTTGTCAGATTTTTTTTAGGATCTTGACGACTTAGAAAAGGAGGAGACCCAAATGGCAGAAGTTTATAAAACAGAACCTTCACATGTCGATATACAACAGCATGTGTCATCTCAAAACGCTAGAAATGCAAACAACATAACAAGGATTTATGCATGCGCAACTATGTGGCACGAGACAGGAGAAGAAATGTTTAAGATGTTGAAGTCCGTAATGAGGTAAGAAATGTTACCTTGTTCTCTTATGTTTGGATAGAATAATTACTCGAAAATAATCCAATGCATTGGAAATAAGATAATAAGTATTGTTTAGTGTTGGATTTTTATAATTGTTCAGATTGCCAGTATAATGATTTTAAAAATACTTAGTTATTTCATTTTGTTTAGAATGGATGAAGATCAGTGTGCACGAAAAAATGCCCAAAAATTCCTTGCTGTTGTGGACCCAGATTATTACGAGTTTCAAGGTAAAGACTTTAATATCATTCTAGGTTCTTCTTTTATTTAGAAAATATGCACTTTTGATTAAAACTAAATAAATGTAAAAAATAATTGGCGCATACTTCTATATTATTTTGATACCCGTTTAATAATGTATTCGTTCTAATCGACCCCTCAAGCGATAAATCTGTTGGCTTATAATGCTAAAAATGGGTTTCGATACCTGTGGTAGGTAGAATACATATAGCTCATTATATAATTTTGTGTTAATAACAAACAAACATACAAATAAACAAAATCGTTTCTTGATGTTTCACCTAGCTAAGAGGGACATGATTAATTTATTCATATTTGGTGTTAAGGAAAATTACAAATGCTGGTGTAAACAAAGTTATGCAGTCAATACATAGATTATTTAATTTTTCTCTTCTATTTAGAGCTGCCCAATATAACATTAGAATGTCCCTTTTCATGCATTATTTTTATCCTTCACATTATTTTTGTCTGAGCGCATCTCAGTGGTTAGCGTTTCGGATTGTAGAGCCGAGCTTCTGTAGTGTGTAAAAATTGTGCTCCGCATTTTGGGGCCATGGGTGCGTTATAAGAATGACAGTCAACTCCCACTATTCAGTATGACAATAATTTATCGTCGGCAGTCCTTTGCGAGCGAAGACGACGTCTCCTAGGGTGAATGTGTTCTCATGTGACTAAACAGCCCAATTCGAGAGTTACATTTTTTGGAACACCTCTTGCAAATAGTGCACAGAGGAAGACGTTGTCGTAAAGAAGGATTGGCTTCTTCTTCTTTCCTCTTCTTTCGCTTCTGCTTCTCATTTTCCCGTCGATCAGTTTCGAATGTTTCTGTCGCATGATGGATTAGACGACGCCAACAAGAACGGTCAAACGCATCCTCCTCCCATGTGTTGAGGTTAATGGATACTTTTTTTAGGTTGATTTCAGGCTATCCTTCCATCTTTTTTACTTGTCCACCCCGAGAACAAGTGCCGTGACGAAGTTCCGAGAAAAGGACTTGACGAGGAAGGCCATGTTCCTGCATACGGAGACAGTGATCGGCCGAAGGAAGTTGATTTTTTATCAGCCAAAACGTGTTTATGACCCAGGAGTAGCCTGTGCGTGACTTCTTTCAGAGTGGGGATAGCGGAGCACAGGCGCTAACCACACTAATTTGGCAGGTCAGTACCGGTGTTCCAATGACCTAGACAACCAAGACGATTGACAGTACTTCCCCTCCCAGCCGTTTAAAATCTCGCACATTCCCTTCGCCTGATCCGCAGTTTAGGTCTTCTGTGGCTTTCTTCGTCTAGTCCCTTCTCCTCGACCTTACCGTTTAGGGTGACCCTGCCAGGAGTGAGAACTACCGCCGGTATTACTCTCGGAGTCATTGAAACACACAAGCGCTCTCACCGCGACAAGGTGACGACACTATTGAGTGAAATGACAAGAATAGCAAAAAATTAACAGTGGGTGGTTTTGAGTAACTGCTTTTCATCTTCAAAATTACGAATAGGTAGCGCACAGAGCCCTCGAGTAGATTTGTGAGACACCCAATAAACAAACACATTGTTTCCTAATTTTTCAATCTCGTTAAATAAAATATAAACGAAGTTGTATAGAGATAGATCTCCAGTGAAGCGCTGCAAAAACGTTAAGTGCACTCGCTTGATTGACTTTGTTAATAAAGATTATTTTCCCTTTGACTTAACTTGAAGAAAAAGCCCAAACACAGTGTAAAAGCAAAGCCAGATAATTCAGATTCAACGCTGTGATACATTTCTTGACATTCCTCATGGTATTGCAGTTACTACACTTATCTCTAAGGTTATCGGTGTACTTTAAAATAGTACAAATATATTCGAGTATTGTTTATGTTTCTAAACTTAACTAACTAAAATTGTATGTATGTATATATATATATATATATATATATATATAATAATAATCCCCAGCTTACCTTCAGAGCCTTGGCTACAATTACATGAACACTAAAATAAACTAAATAAATTAATTAGTTAATTACTTTCGTTTTACTTTAGTTTCTATTGTTCCCGTCGTACAAAGGTAAATTTTAGTTTTGGTTTGTT